TCGAAAACCCCGCTCGAGCGGACAGACGACAACGAAGGGCCCGCTCGAGCGTCAAAATCCCCGCTCGAGCGTGAAGGCCAAAATCTGGGCAACTACTCTGGTTTCTAAGTCCAACCAACCTGTAACAAACTCGCCCAACACAACCCAAGACTCGAATGCAAGGAGTAAAGGATGTAAACAAGATATACACGACAACCAACAGGCAACAAAAGTATGTTTGCCCTTAGCCTCCCAAGCTATGTCCTCAGAGGTGGCATGCTACCTGTACCTGAAAATGATGTTCCCATAAAGGGTGAGCCACAGCCCTGCAGAGATATACTAAACCAACTATGAACAATGATTAAAAGATTAGCACTGATAGGTGGTCGATACTTACACTTCCATTTACATCTTATTTCAATTCCATGACAACCAAACCTATGTTACAATTCACCTTTCATTTCTTATTCAACTTTGAGTTTGAAAACGGGGTTCAGTACTCTGGCCAAAACATTTTGATGAGATTATAGTTCATCACTAGAACATTTTCAAAATTCACGGTGGATACACATTTTGGTGTTGTATCAATAACACATAAACTACTTCCATACTTCACAAACGATGATGATATACATTTTAATGCTATATCAAATCAAACAGACTTTTCAATAGATAAGCATATGAGCTATATCACTACTACAACAGATAAGCATGTGAGCTATATCAACATTCCAATAGATAAGCATATCACACATCAACAGACATGCATATTAGCTGTATCCATACTTCACTAGACAAGCATATGAGCTGTATCTACGGAGTTCATCCCCCATCTCCTCCCAATCCTAGACAAGCATATGAGCTGTATCTACACTTCACTAGACAAGCATATGAGCTGTATCTACACTTCACTAGACAAGCATATGAGCTGTATCTACACTTCACTAGACAAGCATATGAGCTGTATCTACACTTCACTAGACAAGCATATGAGCTGTATCTACACTTCACTAGACAAGCATATGAGCTGTATCTACACTTCACTAGACAAGCATATGAGCTGTATCTACACTTCACTAGACAAGCATATGAGCTGTATCTACACTTCACTAGACAAGCATATGAGCTGTATCTACACTTCACTAGACAAGCATATGAGCTGTATCTACACTTCACTAGACAAGCATATGAGCTGTATCTACACTTCACTAGACAAGCATATGAGCTGTATCTACACTTCACTAGACAAGCATATGAGCTGTATCTACACTTCACTAGACAAGCATATGAGCTGTATCTACACTTCACTAGACAAGCATATGAGCTGTATCTACACTTCACTAGACAAGCATATGAGCTGTATCTACACTTCACTAGACAAGCATATGAGCTGTATCTACACTTCACTAGACAAGCATATGAGCTGTATCTACACTTCACTAGACAAGCATATGAGCTGTATCTACACTTCACTAGAC